GACTCTAATTGTCTTTGTATCACTGTTTGAAATAATGACTATGCTATGAGAATGTTCCATGAAGCCTTCTTTACCCAAACACACTGCCATTGAGTTGATTCTGAGTCATAGTGACCCTTAGATCCAGGTAGAGCAGCCTCTGTAGGGTTTCTAAGTCCCTAAGTCTGCACAGAAGCAGACTTCTGCATCTGTCTCACAGAGAGCGGCTAGGGAGCAAAAATCCACTAACCTTTAGGTTAAAAGCCCATGGCTTTAACTACCGCACTCCCAGGGCTTCTTAGCATTGTGGATAGTGGCAGAAAATGGGAAATGCCCTCAATGTCTATGAAAGGGATGTGGAAATCATCCCACGCATGTCACCACTGCAGAATGTATGCTGATGTCTAAGAAATGCAAAGGGAGGTAACCTTACATGGACTGACTTGGAACGTTGTGCAAAATATCGGTTGTTGTTGTTTATTTTAATTGAAAAACTAAGCAGCCTAGCAATCCCTACAGTAGGAAATCACATATATAAACGGCCCCTCATGTTCATTGTATATATTTTTCCATGACACAATTATTTGTTCCCAAGTGAAAAGGAAACATTTTGGAAGCACCAAATTGATTACAGTTGCATAGGAAGGGGCCAGGTTGGAGGTGATGAACTAAATTAATGTATCAAGCGTGTGTATGTTTCTTTTATACTTACAGTATATACTCATGTATAAGCCTAGCTTTTTCAGAACATTATGCAATTTTTGTGGTAAAATTAGGTGCTTTGGCTGATATTCGGGTCGGCTTATACTCGAGTATATACGGTAAGTCATTTTTAAATGAAAAGTGCACACTTATTAATGGCAGTATTTTCCTGGCTGCAATATTAAGTACTGAATTTGTTTATAAAGTGACCAAGTGATACTTGGGGCGGGGAACTGAAGTGGTATTAAGAAATACAGAAAGTTCTTTTTAGTTTCCATTTTCCTTGATATTTTGTTTTGGTCACCGGCCAAGTTGGCTACAGACAAGATAAAGGGGAATTCAGTGGCGGGAAGCCCTCTTTGAACATCTCAGCCCCCGTCCTAGATAGCAGTGGTGCCTGGGTAGTGCCAGTGGGGAAGCACTTGCTTGCTAACCAGAACAGTGGGGGTTGAAACCACCACAGAGCTGATTGGAAAGAAAAGTCTAGTTCGGACAAAGCAGCCACTGAAAACCCCTGGGGCAGAACACTGCTCTACACACACCATGTTGCCATGAGCTGGAATCAACTCATCACCTTTCGGATTTGGGTCCTGGATGGTCTTCCTCTTCCAAACGTGCAACAGGTATTTAGACAGTAGGTTGATCAAAAGGTGTCTCAAAAACTCCCTGTCATGGAGTTGATTCTGACTCATCACGACCCTATAGGACAGGACAGAACTGTTCCCAAGGGCGTCCAAGTGTGTTGCTCTCTATAGGAGTGGAACGCCTCACCTTTCTCCCACAGAGCAGCTGGTCGTTGTGAACTGCTGGCCTTGCGGTTAACAGGCCAGCGTGTAACCACTGTACCATGAGAGTTTCACAACATGTGTAGCAGAGACATTACTGATCCCTTCACCAACCCATTAGCCCAGTGGTTCTTAACCTTCCTCACACTGCAACCCTTTAATACAGTTCCTCATGTTGTGGTGACCACCTCCCGCCAACCATACACTTATTTTCGTTGCTATTTCCTAACTGTAATTTTGCTACTGTTATGAATTGGGCGACCCCTGCAATAGGGTCCTTCGACCCCCAAAGGGATCACAACCCACAGGTTGAGAAACGCTGCATTAGCCTTATGTGATGATTCACTCGTCCAGCTGTGAGAATCATACTGCTGAGAGCAGACATTTATTATACCTGACGGTTGGTATTTATCAGGTGTTCTTTGCTTCATATCTGCTCTGATCCTGTGCTTTTCTGCAAAAAAACATCCTTTTAGTCAGATGCTACGATGCCATACCTACTGATCGGAACAAAGCCCTGAGCGTGGAGGCCAAGCCCAAGCAGGTGGAGTTTGTTATTTTGTATGAGGAATATGTTCAGGTTTACTAAACATAATACCTGCATTGATAAGCAGTTCGGTATACCTGAACATTTACTGATTTATTGGTGAATCACAAATTTAATTATGATTGTAGTTCTATAGCACATGGATGATAAATCCTTTGAACACAAAATGATAATTTAATCCTGTTAGATGTCTACTTTTATATGAGTTGGGTTTATTTTCAATTTCATATCTAAGTTTGCTTAAGGAATGGGCAGATCAATTTATGGATACCTTTAAAAATAAGTATATTTAAAGTTCACGTAGAATGCTGAGTGAAATAAGACTGTTAAATGGAATCAATATTGAATGACTCAACTTATATAAAAGTTTTAGAATAGGCAAGTATATCGACAGTGCAGGTTATTCATAGCTGCCAGGAGTGAGTGGGAAGGAAGAAGATCGTCAGCGCTTGGGAACATTGAGCTTCTATTTAGATAGATGAGGGAAGAGTGGGTGTGGATAAAGGTGACGGCAGACATAATGAACGTCAAAGACTTTGGACATGTTATCAAGTGAGGACAGTCCCTGAAAAAGGACATCATGCTTGGTAAAGCAGAGAGTCAACCCAAAAGAGGAAGAGCCTCAAAGAGATGCATTAGCACCACGGCTGCAACAATGGGCTCAAACATCACCGCAATGGAGAGGCTGGCCCAGCACCAGGCCCTGTTGGGGTCTGTTGCACTTTGGGTCGTGATGCGTTCAGACGCTTTACCGGCACCTAACAACGAATGGACTGTGCGTGTGGAGACTGTTGAAACAGGAATGATGTGTTACATTTATATTTCCAAAAATGTAACCAAGCTCACTGCCATCTAGTTGGTTCTGAGTTTGAGCGACTCTATAGGATAAAGCAGAGGTCTTCCACAGGGGTTCCACGTCTGTCAATCTGTATGGAAACAGCCTATGGCATCTTTCTCCTGTAGAGCAACTGGTAGGTTTGAACTGCCAACCTTTTAGTTAGCATACAAATGCTTTAGCCCGTTTGCCACCAGTGCCCCTACATAGAAATGGCTATTGAGCAAAAGAAAAGAATGAAAAATGACCGTGTGTCATATGCATGTGTGTGTGTACTCAATAAATTGAGAAGTTGGGGGTCATGTGTCTGCTTAGTGTTTCTTCCACTCTTTGTAGGACCATCTGGAATATGTTTTGACTTCTTTGTACCTCAGCCTCCTCTCATCAATACCAAAGAGAGAAAAATATAACTTATTTAATTGATTCAGTTGGGGGGGTAATCGATGCGGAAATTAGCTTTAGGGGTTTCCAATGCCCTTTACAACATCTAGACATGATGTTGTTACATGCAGGTAATAAATCCCCATCCTGGGCATTCCTTCATCGTTACGTTTAGTTATGTCATCCGCCCTTTTATCCCCACTGCCGCTCTGTGTGCTAGCTACTGAAAACCTCATAGTTCATTGTTCTAGAAAGGTGTTTGTACTTTCCTCCAAGTTTGAGCTATGGTCCGAATACATGATAGCTACTCCTTCCTTCAAAAGTTCTAAGAACCCCTTGCATTAGAGATATGAGTATCTGAGCACCACCTCTGCTTTTCCCGTCTTTTAAAATAATAATATGTGCTATTTTAGAAGAGATCAAAAGACTTCCAAAATACAAATGCAGAAGTGCACCTGCAGAAATGTGGATGTGTAGCTTCAGAACTGCAACCAGCTAACAAAATGAGGAATCAAACAAACCTACTGCCATCGAGTCAATTCCACATGGAGATGTTAATACTGTGAAGCTTCACAGGAGCAGTCGAATCACTCTCCTGCAAAGTGGCTAGTGGGTTTGAACTGCTGACTTTGGAATTAGGAGCCCAACACCTAAACCCACAGCACCTTGAGGGCTTCCTAGACTTGAGAAAAGGCAATGTCAAGTAGAGTCTATCTACTAGTTGAGGTCTACCTCCATTTTTAGTCTTTCTTTTTAACTTTTTAAAATAAGAACCTTCTAACATTTACAAAAGAGGAAAAACAATGTTATAACTTCCCATGTTTCCAATGAACTCATCTTCAAAATTTATCATGACCTCCCAATTTTTTCAGCACTTAAAACAGATCTCACACAGCTTATATATCTGGTAGACAATGCTTTTTTTTTAATCTTCTTTTTCTTTAGTTAATTCTTAATGCCATCACAATACCTAATTCCTTAATGCATCATATCACATAATGCCCAGTCTACATTCAATTTCTCCCAATTGTTTAAACAATGTCTTTTTATAGATTATCTGATGGAATCAGAATCCAAATGCGGTTCATGGGCCCCTTTCTGTTTTTATGACTACAAGCATCAATTACGTTTAGTTTTCCTTTTGTTTGGTTGGTTTTTTTGCTTCTGAATGAATATTATGTGCCAAGTCCCAAGACATAAATGTTAAGCACATAATGTTATTATCTAACCCAAGGATGATTAAGATCCGAATGCAGGTCTTATGTGTGTCAAAGCTGATACAGGAAGCTGGCCGAGTACTTTTCTACTAACGCTAGTAGGAAGACTTCATTGAGAAGTCAATGAGTTTCTTTTCTGAGTCTCGTTTTCCCCATTTATAAAACAGGAAATCCACATAAGAATGATATACTTAGTCTTTCTTACCAGCATGCAGAAATGTCTTTAAGAAGTCAAATAAATATATATATATAGGCACTTCTGTATGTGTCTACATCTGTATGTGCATATATTGGCATACACACATTAATCACACATATAGTTATCATCTTCATCCAAGAAACGAGGCATTCTTTTCTTTATTTGCAGCTGGTGTCTTCTTGGGTGAAACTAATACTCCTAATGCATACCTCTGTGGCATTCCTAAAGCTTACAAAATCAACTTTCCTGTAAATCAGTGTAAGCGGAGTCTTGGGCGAGGTCATTCCATACGTTTACCACAAGCTGAAAAGCAGCCAACGTTGTCCTCACAAAGCCCTTCCGTAGAGTCACTTACCCAGTACTGTTGAGGTAGCTCTGCCCCAAGCTGCAATCCTTTGACAAAGAGGATGGATTGAACCAAAAGGCCGGCAGGCACTGCCCATTGCTGTGTCGCTCATACCCATAGTCGCTGTGGGAGAAAGAAGCACCTTTCAGTACGTGGCAAAACCATGGAAGACAGCATTGTCTTAGTCCCAGACAACGCTTACTCAGCACTGCATCACAAAGCAGTCATGTGCGGAGTCAGTGTGTGCTGAAAATGGAGTCTATGATCGGCCCATGAACACACTGCCGAACCCAGTAGGGAAAGCGCTGACTCAGAGGAAATAGAGAGGCCAGTGTACAGATGGAGGCCCAACATCCAATCATGGAGGTGGATTGCCTTCGTGACGACAGAGTTGACGCTGGTCTCATCAGGAGGATGTAGAAGACTGATGGATGCCGGGCCCCAGCTCAAGCTGTGATTAGAAAATAGGAGGTGGTGGAAGCCCAACCCTCAGGGACAAACTTCTCCGCAGGGTGTTATACAGTCACATGTGGTCGGATCCTCATTACAGCGATATCTTTGGGTTGCTCTTCCAAGACATCTGGATCTACTGGCGGAGCGGAGCCAGGTCTCTCTGTGCACATGCCATATGCTTCAAAGTCACAGCAGAAAAAGGAGTGTCCTTTAGGAGTGTCTCAAGCATCCCCTATCTCCCATCGCACCGTAGGAAAAGTTCTGTGCTAGACAGTGAGTGCTGCCCATTGGAACTAACTCTTTCCTTTCTTTCTTTCTTTCTTTCTTTCTTTCCTTCCTTCTTTCTTTCTTTTTTTTAAATCATTTTAGTGGGGGCTCATACAACTCTTATCACAAGGAACTAACTGTTTCAAACCCTCTCTCTCTTCGGAACTCATTACACTTGTCTCTTCCTCTCCTCTCACGCTTCACTCCAGAGGCAACTGAGTAGCCCGATGCTCTTGGTCTCCAGAGGATGAACTTGGGCACGCAGAATGACAGTCAATGGCACCTCCATGTGCACAGACAAATCACAGGCAGCAATCAGCAGGCGTTAGTCAGCAGGGGTCCATCCCCATCTGTGCAATCGTGGTGAGATGCTGGCGCATGAGGGCTGGGAAGGCAGGAAAGGGATCAGCTGAGGGGTCTGCCACCAGGCAGCTGGCATTTAGAATGCTGCACACACCCGGCAGATTTGGTGCTAAGCTGGTACGGCATGTGAAAGCAGACTTCAGCATTGCGGCCTACAGGACCCCCAGAGCCTACTTCAGGGAATCTGTTTACAAACATTGCAGAATGACAGGCAAAGTCATTCAGAAGAGCCAAGAGGGAACATCCAGTACCAATCACCTTTTATTTTGCTACAGGCAAGTGGAGTCACAAAGCATTAGCCCCTGGGAGAAACCCAACAAGGTCATTGCAAGCCTTCCGAGATACTTCCAGTTGTCTGCGGATACAAACATCTCATTGGACCAGAAAACTGTACAACTGTACAGCAGATTCCAATATCAGACAGAACCCCCAAATTGGGCAAAGATAGAGGAGAGTGATGAGGGAAGAATCTCACTGCTCTCCTTACCCTGTGGCTTCTTCCTCCTGCACTAGCTTCCCACGGCCATTGGACTGATTCCAACTCATAGCTACTCTGAACAGGGTTTTAGAGACTACAAATATTTATGGGGAACATAATAGCCTCCTCTTTCTCACAAGGAGTGACTAGTGGGCTTGAACGACTGATCTTGTGGTTAGTAATACAGCTCCATACAGCTCCATCAGAGCTCCTCGGCTAGTTCACAAGTTTAAAAGCAACAATAATAACACATACTGACTTCTTTGGGGAGCTGGAGGAAGTGCTTCCTGTAGAACAAAAGTTTCCTGGAGCAATTGGGGAATTAGGTAGCTCACCTGACCTTTTCCTTCCGGCTTTCTAACAGAGAATGAATTTGCTCTCTGCTCACACATTGCTATTTGGTAAGGGCAAACCTCACTTGGCAATGTAAAATGTGGCCTTTTCCTTACACATCCTCCTGGAGTGGGGGTAGTTTAAAGAAGACATCGAAGACTTCGAGATTGAAAAAAGGAAAATGAGGAATAACTTAAAATCCAAGGGATGGTTACCGTATTACATTTCAGGGTGTTACCTCGGAAGAGGAGGACTGAAGTAAAATCGGCCTGACGTTGTAACAGAGGGACGATGCACTAACTAAAACAGAAGTCTCAGCCAGGTGGGCCACTGTGGGTTTCCTAGCAAGGCTCAATACAACTGAAACCCCACTGCCCTTTGGCTATGCCCGCACTGACACACTCGTTTCTGGCTTGTCTTGTCCACCAAGAGAGAGACTGCCTTGGGTCATTGGTCTACTTGCCGGTGGCCAACTCGGCCAGATCTGCCCATTACGACTTATTCAGAGCCAATTTTTATAGATGACCAAACAAGTCTTTCTCTTTCAGAGGTGTGTGTCTCTGTGTGAAATCTTATCCTGATCACTGGTATTTCATTACCAGAAATTTGATCTGGGAGTGCTACACTGTTAGAAATAAATGATTACATTATTAAAGGAATAACAGGGGGGTCTTATGTAGATCAAGTTTAAATCACCTAATAGTATATATATGTATTTGGCAATTGTTTTCTATAAATTAATAGATATGTAAAAAAGAAAGAAAGTAAAGAGAAGAGGGGGGAAAGGCACAGGAAATTAGATAAAAATAACCAAAGAGTATTACAGGGTTGTCCCCCAATCCAACATTTCTATGAAACCTTTCCTAAAGCCAAATGACATAAAGCAAAGAAGTAATTAGCATTCATTTACAGGTGAAATAGTTTAAGTGTTCCTGGGTGCAGGAACTAAAACATAAAACCTACAATAACAATAACAGTTTAAAGTTATGACAATTGATGCTGAATGTACTTCGAGGGGAAAGGTTTTACTGAGGTGAATACCACCTCTTCAGTGGATCAGACAAGTAAAGCTGACCTCTGGTTTTGCTTTTTGGTCCCATTTTGCAAAAGCAAAAATCTTCTTCAGATTTCTTTTGGTTAGTGAAATCCGGCACTGATGGTGATTTTCATAAAAGCAATGTGGCATAAAGGGACCTTTTGATAAGCAGGGTGCCCTGATGACCAGTGGGCGTCAATAATTTGTCCACCTCACCTGAACACTAAAATCTGGCCTAGACCAAGGCTTGGCTATCACAGGCCCCACACACTAGATTTCTCCTAGACAAATGCCGCAGGAAGATCATGGTGGCATTCTTGAGTTGAGTTCAACCTCCTCAGTCCTATGGAGAGGGAAATCTCCTTCCATCCCACCACTTGTATTCACAAGACCCTTGGATTCATCCTTGCACTGAACTCAGCAATGTTCCATGAATAGTCCACTGACTACTGCTAAAACCTCTCCGTGACAGGATTTGCTACCACACAAGGTAGCTGTTTCACTGTACACGTTTCCTTGTTTCTAGAATGCGTCTATCCAGGGCAGAGATACGTTGGCTTCTTGAAAAGTCCACTTATTATTGTCAGTGCTGTCATGAAACACAACCAAGGGATTGGGGCCTCTCTTGTCTTCCTGAGACACTGTGAGGTATGCGGAGATCATAATTAGCAAGCTACTACATTCTTTCCAATTCTAAAACAACCCTTGGTTTTCCCATATACTTTGGCATAGAGAACTGCTAAGTCCCGATGTCCTCAAAAAGAAATGTCACAAAATCAATCAAACAAACAAAAGCAAGCTTTGTCCCTGAGCCCTAGGCATGCCCCTCTGCCAGTCTTCTGCTGCAATGAGCGCATGCACGACGCTGGGTTCACAGGGCAGGCTCACCAGTCAAAATCGGCTTCGGTGCAGACACAGGGCTCGGAGTCCATAGCACCTGCATATTTTCCTTGCATACATTTCCGCTCTGATTTTCTCTTCTTATATATCCTTTTTGCTCCCATGATGCATGCCTCCCCCTATACGAAGACAAGATTCACATGCAATTAAGGCGATGACCATGGGCTTTTCCTTTTCCCCGTTTTCCATCAAGTGGAGGCTCGCAAGCTGCAGTGTCACCTGGGCATTGGCGGAGTCTGCTTTGGGCTAACAGGATTTTTCTTTAGGGTCTCTAGAGCCTTACCAGAGGCTGTGACCATAAACAAAATCGTAAACATCATTGACAGTGCGGCCAACTAAGCCCTCGCTCCTTATGTGCTCAGCACACCTTGCTTTGGGAAGATGGCGGGCACAGGGCTAGCAGGGTCCGTATGAAACAGTGCAGGATAAAACGTCCTACCACCGAATCTATAGGAATTAAGTGTCCTTCCACAAAATACACCAAACCTCCACATGGCACAAGGCTGGGGCATCCCAAATGGGGAAATATGCACGATGTAGATGAGGGATCATTCTGTTGCAGACTCGCTGAATAGAGTGGGGGTTTCTAGCGGATGCAACCCCTCTTTTGTGTGTCGGACGCACTAGAACAAAGTTGTGTTTAATCTATTCTAAACGGTCTTCCTTGAACAAACTCACTTTAACTGGTTCCATAACACATTACTTAGTCTAGGGGCAGGGTCTATGCTATTTTACTGCCCGGGAAATGGTGGTGACCTGATGGCAAGAACCTCTCCCATGTCTTCTGAGAGGCCCTCAGGATGATTTGTGCCAGGGGAAATCAACGGAGAGATGTCTTCAAAACAAGTTTTGATTATGAGTTGAATAATTGAAGGATCAGAGGGGAGGGAGCGTTTCCTACGAAGAAGTCTGCATTCTTGCCCCAGGAGTGCCCGGGATGGAGGCCCAGCGGCGGGGCTGATGGCTTTCTTAGACAGGGATCACCCAGCACAATGTTGTTATTTTATGTCTTTCTATAGTTTGCTCTGTGAGAGAAAATTGAGGAACGTTCCCAACTCCCGCACCCCCACCCACCAACCACATGACATGCTCAGATGAAATATGTTCCGATCTCAGTGCTGAGCTGGTATTTCATTTGGAGTGGTAAGACTACGCCAAGCACATTTAAATTTTATCTCATTATATCCTAGCACAATAAAACCAGAAATCACTTCACAACAAGCTATAAATGTTGAGCTTGTTTACTCCGAGAGAACACAAAGCAAGCCTGGAAGCCCTAGCTGAGCACTCTGGTCTAGAGAACCCCACGTCCTACATCTTTTTTTTTTTTTTTTAATTATAATAAATAAACCATTTTATTGGGGGTTCTTACAGCTCTTATAACAACCCATGCATCAATTGTTCCAAGCACATTTGTACATATCATGCCATCATCAGCAAGTCCTACATCTTTATGACCTTCTTCCCCACCCCACCCTAAACACACACACCAAACCCGACCTCCAGGCCTCCTTGCCAGAGGTCAATCCCAGCTCTCCCCCTACCTGGCTGTGCAGCTGCCAGGCTCTGTAGTCCTCCTCGGCACACCGCCTATCAAAAATGGACTTGTAGTCCACTTTGACCAGCTGCCATTCCGAACGATGACTGAAGTGTCCAAACACCCTGCAGAGCCCAAGATGATAAAATAATCATAATAATCACATCACCAACAGTCGCAATGACAGCTAAGGTTGGCTTGGCATGTGCTGTGTGAGTCTGACACAATGCTAACACGGAACGCATGGAGCATAGGATCGAACCCTCCAAGCGCACACAGGCGGGAAGTACCACTCAGTCTCTTGGCTCCACCTCTAAGACAGGGACTGTGAGGCCTAATGAGAATTTTGCTAACATGAAAGAAACAAAGGCAAGTCTCAAGTGTCAGATCGCATGTGTTTAGCGTCAAGAGGCCACTTTGATAGACCGGACAAATAGAATTGTTAAAAAACAAAACAAAACTGTAAATGCTGCATTCTACGTGACCTGGAGTTATAGTAGGTGTTTTTTTTTTTTAGGTTCTCTTGTTAATTGACATGATTCCCATGACATTTTTTTTTACTTCCCACAAGGTCAAAGGGAAAAGTAGGCTGACATGCAAAATAGTTCCAGCCATTTCTCAGACTCTGCATTTTCCTTTCCTTACACAGAGCGCAGTGGGCATTTCTCAGACTCTGCCTCCTCCTTTCCTTACACGGAGCGCATTAGGAACTTCCTACATGGTGGAACCCACCACCTGTCATGGGATAAAGCTACAATGCAGCCCTTCTGGTTGGCCTGGTTTTGGCTCATCTGTGTCGTGCTGATGTGAAAACAGGGTAAATCCAAATCCTATAAGGAACTGCTTTCTAGCTATGTTTATTGACCTCTGTTGCTGTTGTTTTCTGCCATGAAAAACAAAACAACAGAGTATGTGCCAATTCCCCACTTGAATTTCAAAATTTTCATTGATGACAAGATCAAGTAGTTGTAAATTTTTCCTCTCCGTTTTCCAAATATAATTTTTTTATGGGAAGGAGGGGGAGGGGGAACACAGCTTCATATTTCAACTACAAGGCCATCTTTCAAACCCATAGGCAACAGAGTCATTAATCAAATCTTTCACAAATTAATGTTCATCACTTTCCAGACAAGGAGGGCAAATTCAATTTTGTAAGAACAGATTGTTCTGTGGTTTCCCGAATATGCCTCACAATTGGGTTAGGTAAAGAGCCTGGAAAAAATAAAACCCTTCATGTGCTTCTGATCAAGCCCTGTGTTCTGCCTTAAAGGGAAACCATTCTCACTTGCCTGAGATTTTATTTGTGTCTAGATTTTTAATTATTCAAACTTTACATTTATAGCATTAACACTATTTTTTAAAAATCACTTCTAATTTCCCCAACACCATTTAATAAAGACATAAAGGGACTCTCCCCTTCGGCTGGCATCCCATCCATGTGGAGTTTTGAATAGCCAGCAAGGAGAGTCTCTGGGCAGTTTAAACTTGACTAACAGCCAAAAGATGGATGGTTCAAGTCCACCCAGAGTGGCCTTAGAACACGGGCCTACCAATCTACTTCCAGACCTCAGCCGCTATAGGCCCTTTGGAGGAGAGTTCCACTCGGACACGCATTAGGGCAACTTGCTGCGTTGTCATCCTTGTCATTGTTTTCTGTCAATAGTTAGTCCAAAGTCAGACAACTGCTGTCCATGGGTCCTCCTTTGCTAGGGATCTTGCTGTCAGGTGTACCGACTTTGCTAACAACTTCTGATTTCACAGCCGCAAATCACACAGGCTTGGCTATCACACATTGTTCTGGGTTTCCTCTCATGTATTAAGAAATCACACGTTTTCCACTTACGTCATAATGAGAGTCTCTTCCCCAGGCTCACCCAGAACCCCATCCACAAAGAGTGGAATAGGAGTGAAACTGTATTTGCTCCAAGATCTCCCTTCATCAAAACTCAACCTAGTGACAGGGATAAAAAAGAGTCATCAAATCTCAAAAGGAAAACAACAAAATATAGCAAAGTCCTCTTGAAGGACAGATACGCTAAGCCAAGAGGGAAAGCATTCTTAAAGCACCTTGGGCATTGTCCAAGTATGCCTTTCATAGCAGGTAGTGTTCTTCATTATGTTAGAAATAAAAGGGGCCTTCAAAAATTCATGTAGCAATGGAGTGTAAAGATCATGGAATTTGGGGGAAACTTTTTCAAGCCCCCTAGAGTAGGTAGTCACGCAATTTGAGGCCCAAATGTGTTTTTACAAGAAAAAAAAGAAGAAGGGCGTTCGATGAAATGAAACTAACATTGTCTTTGATAAAGTTTTCATTTTAATCTGGATCAGAGATTTTAATCAGATCATAGACCCCATCCATGACCCCCTCCAAATCCTCGGTCTAACAGAAAGCCTAACAAGTATTCCTGAGGATCAATGACCTCACGTGGTTTACTGAGTCTTACTGAGCTTCCCTGGTTGGCTGAAATCAGCCCATTTCCAAGTTGCATCCTCTTCACTTTGTCCTAAATTCTGGTTGACCATATTGGATGGATGGGCACAAAAGGGCAGGCTCTTGAGAGCAAGAGATGAGGAGTTTGCTGTGCTGATGGTCACACAGAGATGTCTCTCTGGTCTTTCTCTTAAGATGCCTTCCCCCAAGCTACATCTTTGTTTCACTTGCTCCCACTTCCTAAACTTCAGTCACGATGCTCTCGCTGCAGCTTGGCAGTCATCATTGAAGTAATGAACGGTGAGGGAAACACCAGGCTTTGCATTTTAAATGAACTAAGACACGGAGAAAGCCATTTACAAAACCAGATGCAGGAGATGTTTGGAAACCCATCTGGAAGCAAGGCTTTGCATGAGCTGCAGAGCTGCAGAATGATCTCCCAGAAGAGACAGGGGCAGCAGAAATGTGGTCAAAGTGTCAGGAACTACTATCCAGAAGTGAACACACATAATGCTTGTGGACAGCCAGCTCCAGGGGATCATCATGGGAAAGGTGACTGCAAGAGGTTAAGCAGCCCAGACCCTACCTGTAAGTGAACATATTTTATCCATGACTGTACGGGAAGGATGAAATTGTCATATGATTGAAAACCATAATGCATTTTCCTAAGGGCACACCTTTTAGGCTTAATTTTCTTCATATCCTCTGTCCCCTGTATTTCACTGCCTCTATTCAGCTTGCTCCTCTCTCTCTCTCTCTCTCTCTCTCTCTCTCTCTCTCTCAAAACTGCAGGCAACAACCTTATTGTAATAGCACAAAGGTGTGAGTTATGTTCAGTAGACCTTGACATGTTACTACAAATACAGTCACACTTGGCCTGTGGACAGCCTGACTCTTAGACTGGTCTGAGCAGGTTAGAACATCAGATGTATGTCTAGCGGGTAGCCGGTGTCATTACCAGAGATGTCGAATCGGGAGTGATGTATGTTTCATAGCAACCAGTACTCCACCTTGATCCAGGTACAAAACACTGTGCTCTTCTTCAAATATCTGGAAGAGGGAAACATAAGCATGCTGACATATCCACATGCAACCAGATTCCAGAGAACTGGTCTTCATTGAAGGAAAAATCCTACCTATGGCAGAAATAAGCACCCACTACCATCAAGCCTATTGCAATCCATAGCCACCCTACAGGACAGAGAGAACTGCCCTAGCATGTCCAAGGCTGCAAATCTTTATGAAAGTAGGTTGCCACATCGTTCATATGTGCAGCCACTGTTGGGTTTGAACTGCTGACCTTTGTGTCAGCAGTCAAGCTCTTAAACACTTATCACTGGAGTTCCTCACAATCACTCATCCCCATAGAGGCCATTCTGACTCATAGTGACCCCATAGGACACAGTAGAACTGCCTCTGTGGGTTTCAGAAACTGTAACTCTTGACAGGACTAGCGACTAGTAGTTTTGAACTGTTGAGCTCACAATCAGCAGACCAAAACACAAACGCTATGCCACCAGTGGTAGTAGGTTTTCTTATTCTCCGGAGTCCTGGGGGTGTAGTGGGTTACATGCTGGTTGGGCTGCCAACTGCAAGATGAGCAGCTGCTGCTGCACCTGAGACAGTTAAGGCTTTCTCCTTCAATAAAGTGACGCAGTCTCAGAAACCCACCCGGGCCTGTCCCCTGTCCTACAGGGTCACTCTGTGTCGGGATCAATTTGATGGCAGTGAGTGAGTGTGAGTCTAGGAAAACACAGTCGTATAAATAACACTGCTTCCGAAGGCACGATGCAGGCATCGCTGGTGTTATGTAACATGAGCTACATGCGACATCAAGGAAATTTAAAGGAAACAAGGAGTTATATATTCATGTGTATAGTTCCTTCTTTTTATGGTAAATCTCATTAGTTACCATTTTTGATGATGTCGGAATATTGAGTAACTGTCATCGATTTTGCCAGTTTGTTGTACTACGGTGGCCTCTGTGTTACGCTGTGATGTGCGCCTTATGTGCTGTGTATAACGGGTATTTCAAATACAATCAGAGACATATATTTTACATATTTAGATGGAAGGAATCCTGGAGATAACGGATTCTGATGTCCTCATTTTTATGGATCAGAGAGATAAAGGTTGAGAGCTATGTGGTGACTTTCTGAAGACAATGCACACAGTAACAGGGGAACATTTCACAACTAGTCATTTAAAATGTTTCATGTGTTAACGAATTTAAGCTGTCCCTGTTCAATTCGGAGATGCTTGAGTTATAATAAGGTTGTAAGAAAGCAGTTCTGACCCCAACGAAATCCTTATCTTTTAACACACAAATCATTAGGTCTTTCTCTAAATGTAGAGAAACCAGGTTAAAGTCAAATAGGGACAAGCTGGGAACAATCTCTACATCTTCTCCTGTGAGATGCCCACTCTTAAGAGTCAGTGATCTGTTAGCACTGTCTTATCTGTAATCACAGTGCAGATGTGACCTCTCCCCTCTGTTTACATTGTATACCCAGGGTTCACCAAAGGATTATACAAGTAGAGACCGGAATACTCCTTGCCTTCTTTGAGGTGTTGGGGGAAAAGAAAAGAGGGTCTAGGTTCTCCAAGTATTATCCAGAAGAAGCTTGCTTCTAGGAGCCCTTCTTCCCACATGCCTCCAAGATCATTCACCCTGAAGTTTCTTAAGCAAATATCATCCCTCTCCTGTTACCCTCGAAACATAAGCCTGCCCATGAGAATCAACCAAAGACCTTGACCAAGACTGGCCCACACCGTGGAGACATCTCTGCCTAAAATTTAAAACAGAACATTCTCATTGCTTAGTGTGTAATAGACTTCAATTTGTAGTGCCAATTATGATAAGATAATTAAATGTAAGCAGGTTATTAAAACATACTTATTGAAGTATAACAACTATGCATTAGGCACATATCTTCTTAGGACTGCTAACCCTCATTAAAGTCCTGTTTTATACACTATCGGTGTCTAATTTTCATTCAGAAGAAAGGTAAGAGGCAGTTCCACTAAGCACATTGGTTTAAAGTGATCCTATTCCATTTCCCCTAACATATGTATCTTGATGGTTATTACTCTGTCTTCTGCACATGAGACTTGAAACACTAAGAGCACCGCCTGGGTAATGGCTATTTCAATCTTACTGTATTTCTCCACATTCTGACTTCAAGGCAAGGAGAATTTATGGGCCCCACATCCTTAATATGAAAAGCCCATTGGGCTTCTGGCTTTCTCTTATGGGAAAAGAATCTGAGTTCATTTGGTTTCCTTGTCATTTATAACCTTTCTTCCACATCGTCTCTGAATAAGGAATATCTTTATTAAAAATAAAAATAAAATTGCATAAATACCTGCTGAACTCAAAGACTTCAGACTTTCACTCACAGAAAGGAAACAAGACACGTTTGCAGGCTTTAGGAGTTACGTGCGGCATTGCGGAATCATTCTGCAGCATTGCACCACATCGGGCAAGTGTATTTCTGCCACTTAAACCGCAGCAACTCGGCCCAGTATTTTCTTACCTGTCTCCAAGTGTTCCCAGCATCTGAAGAGACAAACATGCTGATGTCGCTGTCTGACAACTCAGAGCCTATGTTACCTGAAAAAGAGCACATCGCCCTGAGTGAAGGGAAGTGCTTGTAAAATTAGGGCTCTCCTGGAATCTGTGCTGCCGGACACGGATGGAGACTGCAAACATATCTAAGCAGAGGTTTGCAGCATACCCGCTTCAGAGTCCATGGTTTGGGTGCCTTTCAGAACTGTTTTTAGCTTGAGTGTTAAGTTCCAACTACAGAACAACCAGCTTCTTCAAACAAACACCATGTACAGCAGCAAGCTTCTTACCTGAAGCCACTATGATGCTCGGAGCGGTGTCTCGACTGGCAATAATCCCTGAGGTATAGGGATTCTCAGAGACCTTCAGGTGAAGGTGTAGGGAGCAGTAGGGCTACAAAGAGGAGAAATGAACATCATAAAATGACAAAATATTAATTCATATTTAAGCTCAGATTCAGAGCCTCCATCCATTCATCCATCCATCCATCCATCTACAATTAATCAAACATTTCATTTCCTCTAAGTGTAATGCAGCTACCAAGTTTGTAAAAGAGAAAATACTTTCATTTTCAGTCTGATCTAGTGACTTAATTGTCAGTTGGTCATTTAACAAACAGTTCAGTGTCTCTATTGTAAAATGTATACAGATGAGAGTTTCATTAGCTTATAGAAAACTCCTCTGCTATTATAAGAGTTTACAATCAAAAGAGAAGACGTTAGGTATTTCTATTGATCACCATAAAATGAGACTATTTCAGCAGCCATAAGACTGGTAGCAAAGTACTATATTTTCATAAGATAAAGTGTTATAATATTCTAGAGCATTGGTTCTCAACCTGTGGGTCGCGAATCCTTTAGCGGTTGAACAACCCTTTCACAGGGGTCGCCCAATTCCTAACAGTAGCAAAATGACAGTGATGAAGTAGCAAGGAAAATAATTTGATGGTTGAGGGGTCACCACCACATGAGGGACTGTATTAAAGGGTTGTGGCATTAGGAAGGTTGAGAACCACTGCGCTAGAGGGTAAAAAGACTATACCCAACTTTGGTTTTTGGGGGTTATTGTCATGGTTTTTTATGTGTTTTTCTTTTCTTACTTGCAACAGTCTAAATCCAGACTTTGATTTTAAGACATTGTTTAAGGGAACCCTGGTAGTACTATCTGGTAAACTTTGGAATGTTAAGGTACGAGGGTTAAATTCACCAGTCGCTCCAAGGGAGAAAGATGAGGCTACATGTTCCCATAAATGCTCTTAGTGCCGGAATCCTATAGGGTTGCTATGATCCAGAATTAACTTGATGGCAGTAGGCAAGGCATTGTTTAAATATTTGGAACATCATATTTGACTAATACAGTGAGATTAAACCCTAACTACATTTTTTGCAGAATAATTTTCGAAGGATATTGATAATACTCTTTGATTCCAAATTTCTACCCAGTTTAATTATAATGTTGATAAAAAAATTTTTTCTACCAAGTTTAATTATAATGTTGGTAAAAATTTCTACCCAGTTTCATTATAATGTTGATAAACTCTTAACCATATCTATGTATCTATTAGCTTCTCTTGGATTCATAATAGCTAATGAAGCAATGGCTCTCTCAACAGATTCTGGTCCGTTCCAGTAAACATAGCTGTTTCCTCCTGCATATAGACTACCATATAAACTTGAGTACAAGCCAACTCAAAGATCTGCCGAGGCACCTAATTTTACCACAAAAACTGCATTAAAAATGTGCTGAAAATCTCAGCTTATACACAAGTATATATGGTAGTATGTCTAAATGCATTCGTTTGTCTTTTTTTAATTTGCCAAGGGAACTATTTATTAGGTACCATCGCAGGCTTTTTTATGTTTGTTTTTACCTTTTTATTATAGTTTGGGTGAAAGTTTACTGAGCAAATAAATTTTCCTTTCAACAGTTTATATGCATTTAGTTGTGTACCCTTGGTCGCAATCTCTTCGATGTGACAGTCTTTTTCCATGTTCCCACCCTGGTTCCTGGTTTCCATTCACCCATCTTTCCTGACTTCGGAGCTTTGCTCTTGACCGAACATCCTTTTGGCTCTGATGATGGTGCCCTAAGGACAACTTTTCTCTCCTGTGTTACTACTCACTTTATAGACCTCTTAATTAGCTGAACATTGATCCCTAGGGTGAGATCCCTGAAAGGTAAGGACCACAGTTTTAGGGGGTCCACCAATTTCAACCAGATCGGTAGGTCTGGTCCGATTTTGAATTTTGTTCATTACATTTGTCTACCTCTTTCCAGGGCCCCTGTTGTGATACTGAGTAAAGATTAGTTGGGGTGGTGGGGTGCCATTGAGTTCTGGTCTCAGGATGGTGAAGACTACGGTTTGTGGAGTCTATCTGCCCATTGGACTAATTGTTTCCTTGAGTGCTCGACCCTCTTCACTCTGCTTTTCTCTGGATGAGAGGAGAAGAATAGTTGTTTGTATCTTAGATGGACTCTCGCAAGCTTGTAGGACCCCAGGCACTGCTCACCCAAGTCTGATGGAGAACATTGTCTCTGTGGACTACATTTCACCAATCGATCTAGGTATTCCCCATGGCGGTGGCCTTAAATCCCAAATCCCAACGACTCATTCTCTCAAGGTATTTAGTGACGGCTAATTTTCAAACTGTGTCCCCTGCATGCGTTACAATATCCGTGGATATATTTGCAGCACATACAAATACCAAGTCCAACTTTCCATCAGAGAAGACATCCAGGAGAAAATGCTACCGAAGGGAAAGATGGTAAATTTATGAAATACAGGTGAGATTGAGATGCTGAGGAAGATAAAAGGCTTTCAGACCTGGGAATTACGAATAACATGGAAAAAAGAAACAGCAGGGTCGATCAGTACGATATATGCAGATGAGATTAAAGAGGAGAAATGAGAGATGGGGTCAGGAGAGATGGCTGGGTCAGGCTGAGTGGATGTCAATGAAGTCAGCCCTCATCTGAGTCACCTTCCATTATGAGACCTTGTTAGTGCCCCTACAGAGAAAAAGCTATACGACATATGAAATTGCACTAATATTCACGCAACAATACACATAGTGTCTGTACTAGGATATTGTCAGTGTCAGTATTAGTCAATGCAAACGTCTTCCTTGCAGGCAAAATGCAGTGGCGATGCTCATTTGAATGAAAAATTTATGGGACTTATTTGCGTGTAAAAAAACTTTGATCAAATTCTCTGATCAAGATATCAACAGTTCCCTCCCTCCCCTAGAAGGATAGTAAATCTTGTATGAATTTCCTTTAAAATAGTTCTTGTTCTGAGTTGTCGAAAAATACAAGTTTGTGTTTGAACGACAATTTTTTCATCTCTCAGGAAGATTACTTTCTAATCTTATCGACTTCGGTTTTTGGAATCACCAATGTATCTCTGTTATTACTTTTATTCTGCTCTGTAAGTATCTGCCAGCAGATATTCAGAGAGCTACAGAGATACAATGATTAAATTTATATGGGATAGAGTAAATGACAAACTAAAAATGAAACTCAGGAATAAAATCAGCCAAAACACTGATGAAATAAAACAGCAGATCACAATAGGGTTTTTTCCTCACTGCCAAGATAGAGCGTAAGTCTCTCCTAGAATAATAATAGCAATACATTATTGGTTTTACACTGAAATTTCAGGTAAAACTTCTCCAAAAATGCATTTCCACTTCATGATGCTCTGTAAGTGTACAGAAGGTAGCTCCTAAAATGAGAAAGAATCCGTTTCAAACACACAGCTTCCTCTTGCCCCAAAGAAAGCCTTGAACAGCCATTGCTTTATGTTAGAGTCCCAGAACAACTTTGCATAAGACTCAGATGGATGATAGATGCTAACAGCATTAAGCAGAACCACACTATTTCTCCATAAATTTTTCTAAGCAACTTGAAGGTAAGAGGATCACTTTTCTCTAATCTATCACATGACGTGTGTTAGGTATAAACTCATATTATCCATATGTACAGTTCTATCTTTCTAGGAGATATGCTTATAAAGAAAGCGCATCAAGCACTACATGTCCATCTTCTGTGAAACCTGGTAGTGAAACTGAAAAAGATATTTGATAGATGCTTGAAACATCAGATAAATTGGGATGGGGTGGGGGGAGTGGGAGGTTATTTTTTTGTTTAGTTTTTAATCATTTTATTGGGGGCTCATACAACTCATCACAATCCATACATCCATCCATTGTGTCAAGCACATTTGTACATCTGTTTCTATCATCATTCTCAAAACATTTTCTTTCTACTTGAGCCCTTGGTATCAGCTTCTCATTTTCCCCCCTCTCTCCCCTACTTTCCCTCCAATAACCCTTGATAATTTATAAATTATTATTATTTTGTCATACCTTACATGTCCAATGTCTCCCTTCACCCACTTTTTGTTGTCTGTACCCCAGGGAGGGGGTTATATGTAGACCATTGTGAGCGGTCTCCTCTTTCTCTCCACACCATTCCCTTACCCTCCCAGTATGGCTACTCTCAATATTGGTCCTGGGGGACTTATCTGTCCTGGATTCCCAGTGTTTCCAGCTCTGATCTGTACCAGTCTCCATTCTCTGGTCCAGCCAGATTTGTAAGGTAGAATTGGGATCATGATAATGGGGGGCAGGGGAGGGGTGGAAGCACTGAAGAACTAGAGGAAAGTTGTGTGGTTCATCGGTGCTATGCTGCACCCTCTCTGGCTCGTCTCCTGCCCAGACCCTTTTGTTTGGGGATGTCCAGTTGCCTACAGATGGGCTCTGGGTCTCTACTTCACACTCCCCATCATTCACAATGATATGATTTTTTTCTTCTTTGATGTCTGATACCTGGTCCCTTCTACACCTCATGGTCACACAGGCTGATGTGCTTCTTCTATGTGGGCTTTAATGCTTCTGAGCTAGATGGCTACTTGTTTACCTGCAAGCCTTTAAGACTCCAGATGCTATATCTTTTGATAGCCAGACACCATCAACTTTCTTCACCACATTTGCTTATTCACACATTTGTCTTCAGCAATCATGTGGGGAAGGTGAGCATCATGGAAGGTCAAGTTAATAGAACAAAGTGTCCTTGCATTGAGGGAGTACTTGAGTAGAGGCCCAATGTCCATCTGCTACCTTAATACTAAACCTATAAATATATGCACATAGATCTATTTCCCCATTGTCATATATAAATATATTTACATATGTACATGCCTGTATTTAGACCCCCATAAATGTCCTTTCCCTCCAATTCTTTCCTCTATTTCCTTTTACTTTCCTCTTGTTCCACTATCATGTTCAGCCTTCATTTGGGTTTCAGTAATTCCTCTCGGTTACATTGCCCTTGATCAAGCCCTACCAGGCCTCCTACACCCTCTGCACCATTGATTTTGGATCACTTGTTGT